GGCGGGCCCTCAGGTGCAGTTGTGCGCTTTCTCCGGCGGGGTAAGGTGTTCAGGTGCGGATCTCGGCTCTTTAGTGTCTCCTGTCCGGTAAGCCTTTGCCCCCGGGACGCCCGCGGAAGCTGCCCGTCGTCGCCGCGGTCGTGGGTGGTGTGTGTCGCGGCACAGCGGGTCCCGGCCTGCAGCCTCCGCGGAGCTCTGGACGCGGTGACTCTGCACCCGCGGCCTCGGTGATAGGCCGGTCGCGGGACTGCCCAGCCGCCGCTCTCGGGCTTCCATTCGCGTAGCAAGTACGGCGGGGCCGGGCGGGTGGTCAGGCCCGAGGAGTCGGGCGGCTTCCGTTCTGGGAACAGTCGGTACGTTAGCCTCCTGGATGTGCAGGGAAGCCGCGTCGAGCGCGGCTGGGCGTCGGGTGTGGGGATGAGAAGTGCTTCCGCGCGAATCGGAGCTCGCAGCAGGCCTCTAGCTGTGGCCTCTCGGCCCTGTGCTCAGGGCCATCCTTCCTTTCATCCGCCTGTTGCAACAGCTCCATGACTGGTCACCCTGCTCTCGGTCTCTCACAGCCAGAGTAAGAGTCCTCGCTGTAAAATAATGCCTTTGGCTCTTTGCTCAAGAATCATTCGGTGGAACCCCATAGCTGAAGAGAAAATTGAGTTTTTACCTGGGCAGCGGGCCCGTCAGGACCTGATCGCAGGTTATCTTTCCAGTCTTAATTCCCCATATTCCATCCAGTATCTGGGAAAATGGGCCTTGGAGTCGGAAGTGCGGTTTCTCCGCCAAGTGCGTGCGGAGTCCCACGCTGTCCTTTGCAGGGTTAGTAGTGATGAGGCCGATTACCGCCCCCCCGCCGTCCAGTAGTTCAGAATCCTCTGGCACTCTGTGGAGAGTGCACGTGCCTCTTGTCATTCAAGGCTCTACGTGATCTGGGGACTTGCTTGGCTCTCTAACGTCTTCGGGTTTTTTGTTGTTTTTTTTTTTAACTTTAGTAATTGGTCTCTTGCCCATTGAGCGGTCTATCCTGTTTCAGTGCCCTTTGATCAAGCTTTCTCTAATTAAAATGCACTTCCCTATCCTTCCTTTTAGACCTTCCGCCTTATTCCTGCCTCTCCTATTTCTAATTTGTGCTCATTTTTTGTTTTTCAAAAAATACTTTCTTGATTTTTCTCCATCCCTTTTCCCACTCTGCACTTAGTGCCCCTATTTCCACATTGCTTTATAATTGTGTGTCTCCTTCCCTCACCCCACTGCCATACTGTAAGCTCTTCAGGAAAGGGATTGGTCTTATCCATCCTGGTATTTCAGCGTCTAGCATAGTGCCTGGTGCGCCCCAAACGTTATTAGCTGAATGAAGGGAATGAACAAAACAGGTTTTTTTTTTAATTGCAAATTTTTTCTTAATAATGATCCTATTTTCTTTTTACAGGAATTAAAGTACAGAAAACATGGTGAGTTAATACACATGCCAAAAGCTGTTGCCTGTTCAACGGTATTGCTTGTACTCAGCTCATAGACTTGCATGAGAAAATTAACTGGAAGGAAAAAGATATTGAATGGTGTCCTTTTCCTTATCAGTTTCCTCTCACACACCAAACTTTGTGTACCAGGATATGTTTTATAAGATGATTTGTGACCTTGCAGGAGTTGGCTTTTTTATTATTCATAGGAATCACTTGTATGTTTTCCTTTGCAGTCTCGAAGATATGACTCCAGGACCACTATATTTTCCCCAGAAGGTAAGATGGAAATTGGTTAATCTGTCTCAAATATTTTAAAAAATGTAGTGTTTGACTTTTAGGGGGAAAGGACCTATAAACTTATTTTTATACCTCCTAAGTTGTTTTATTCTTTTTATACTTTGAAGTAATTATGGCCACCAGATTGATTTACATGCATCATAGAAGAGAGAGAATAGGACTCTTATTCTTAGCCTGTCAGCATTGTTGTTTTCTCTTGGACCAGTGGTGCAGCAGCACAGAGGAGAGTCTTGGTTTCTCCCTGCTTGTGTTTTGTAGGTCGCTTGTACCAAGTTGAATATGCCATGGAAGCTATTGGACATGCAGGCACCTGTTTGGGAATTTTAGCAAATGATGGTGTTTTGCTTGCAGCAGAGAGACGCAACATCCACAAACTTCTTGATGAAGTCTTTTTTTCTGAAAAAATTTATAAACTGAATGAGTAAGTGAGATCTTAGTCTAGAATATCTCACTTTCATGCATAAGTGAGATTTCACATATTTGGGGAGGGCTGTTCTATGTGACATGGTAGAATTGAAGTGACCAGTTTATTGTGTTTTACTTCTGACAGTTTTTGCTTTTACTTTGCTTGAAACCTCCTTGAGACCTAGGACCATGTGTTAGTGGAGAAATATCGCATTGTATAGTGATAAGAGTACAGGCTTAGTAGTCACATAGATTTGGGTTAAATCTGGGCTTCGCTGATAGAAGCTGTGTGACTTTACACCAATTGTCTTAACTTCTCCAGGCCTCAATGCCTACTAGAGTGATGGTGGCAGGTTAATAAAATAAAGTAAATGAAATAGTCTAGTATCCGGCATATGGCAGGCCCTCAAAGTATTTAGAATGGCTACTTAAGAATTCTGTTGAATTATATTGAATCTTCCCAAAGGACATGTGTCCTAGAGGTCAGGGAACAGTTTAGCCACACTCTGTGCACTTGCTGCAGTTTCTGTGATGGTTGTGTGGGGCTTTGCAGCTAGCAAAGAGCTATATTTGTTGAGCAGAGATTTTTCCTTCAGCGATGGGCCAGGTGAGGGCTGTTGGAGGGTATTTTTGATACACTTATTGGAAGAAGTGTCTTCCCTCCACAGGGTCACTGCTGGGCCCAGTCAGCAGTTTACAGGCTTAACAAGGCATAGTGACAGAGGGTGTCTAGGCTGTAGGAGATTCAGGGCAGACCTCAGGGAATAGGAAGCAAAGAAAGAAAATGCACCCCTAGTTTGAGCCTAGCCGTGGATATTCTAGGCAGGCCTGTAAAATAGCCTCCTCTTAGGTCCCCTCATGAGAACCACCATCAGTCCAGGGTTTAGGAGTTGAGAGAACTCACTACCCAAGAACAAGCAGTAGTCTGTCTTTCTTTCTGACAAAACTTTTTTTTCTTTGATGCTGAATCTTATTGGGATTTACTTTAGCTTCCCAGTGTTTTTTCCTTTTCTTCATTCATAAGCTGGTAATGACAAATGTATTGGAGGGGTGCATTTGTTTATCTTTCATGTTGAATGTCATCAAATTGAAAGCCTTCTATAAAGATAAAACTTCCATAACTTTTGTCTGAAGGGTGTAGCAGTTGTGAAGAATATTAAGAATGGTGAATTTCTATTAGAATATGGTTCTTTTAATATTTGTAAATACCCTTTGAAAACATCTTCCCTGCTTAACGGTCATATTTTTCTTTTACTCAAGGGACATGGCTTGCAGTGTGGCAGGCATAACTTCTGACGCTAATGTTCTGACTAATGAACTGAGGCTCATTGCTCAAAGGTATGATCATAAGTAGTGTAATTGAAGGAAGATACATAAATTAGTTTCAGTATTTGTAAGGAGAACTCATTTGCAAAGATTAAAGTCATTAAAAATCTAATTGAAAATTGTAGGTTTATTTTTTTAACGGATTTATATAATGTTGTTTACTGTAGGATCTGAGGATGTGCCATGCCCTCCCCACCCTTCAAATTATAAATGACTATTATGATGTCTCCAAGGCATATATTTCTTTTCAGAGGGTATTTTGCTTAGAGAGTATTTGTGTTCTAGAGAAAACTATTAATACGCCAATCTTTTTATCCTAGGTATTTATTGCAGTATCAAGAACCAATTCCTTGTGAGCAGTTGGTCACAGCGCTGTGTGATATCAAACAAGCTTATACACAGTTTGGAGGTATTGAATATTTTAGAAATTTTATTTCAGAAAGTTAAAATTTTTTATGAGTCATCTTTTGAGACAGTAAAAAGGCATTGAATTATGAACAAGTAAACACTTCATACATTCCTGCTCATGAAGTTACTGGGTCCAACTGTGTAGATTATCACATATGTTTTATTAGTAGACTATTGAAAGGCCAAATATTTTGTATCTAGAAAAACTGATTTTTACATAATAATGAAATTCAGCACTAGTCTTTTGTGTCTCTATTCCCTCTCCTGGCTATGTCCAAATCCAAGAAACAAAAGTGGAATTTTTGATAAGCTTTTCTCTGGTGGCCAGAACACAAAGCAATTTATGAATGGTTAATTTCATAGAAACAGTTTAGCCACATTGACTGAGTTCAACTATAGTGATACTGAATTTAAATTGCTCATGTTTGGGGTTTTTTTTCTTTGTTAAAGGAAAACGTCCCTTTGGTGTTTCATTGCTTTACATTGGCTGGGATAAACACTATGGCTTTCAGCTCTATCAGAGTGACCCTAGTGGAAATTATGGGGGATGGAAAGCCACATGCATTGGAAATAATAGCGCTGTGAGTATTTTTGTATTGCTTTAAAATCTAGCAAAAAGTCTAATGACTACCATAATTTTGAAGTAGTGATGAGTAAAAGCAATATTCTAAGATAGTTGCAACGACCTTAAGTTGATATGAAAATGTCTATGATGTCTACTGGTGATGAAGTTGCCAGTATTGCTGATACTAGTGTGATTTATTGTCTATATTTATATACTTCAAAAAAATGCTAATTTTCAATTAAAAGTTGTGAAAAAAGTCTTTTTTTCACATCCTAGTTCACAGATCCCTTGAATTCTATCACAGATCCTTTGGAGAACTGAGGAACCCAGGTCAAAGACTCCATCCATAGAACATCAACATCCACCCCCTTCCTCACCCCACTGTATTTCTACCCTCCTTGCCATCAAAATTGTTTATATCGGTTTGAATGCCAATAATAATCTAGGTATTATTCTTTTGACTAACCTGTATTCCTAAAATATGTAGAAATTTAAAGAAAGTTTTAGAAATTGATTCTTTGTTTTATAGGCAGCTGTATCCATGTTAAAACAAGACTACAAAGAAGGAGAAATGACTTTGAAGTCAGCACTTGCTCTAGCTATTAAAGTCCTAAATAAGACCATGGATGTTAGTAAACTTTCTGCTGAAAAAGGTAATTTATGTTGACTCCTCAAATGTATTCACTTGAGTAAGGGAATTAAGTTGCTACTATATTAGGCCTTTAACAAGTTATTTTAGTTCATTGAGAAAGCAGGCTTGTGAGTTATGTGGCCTTATACCTATTTACTAAATGAGGACACTGGGGCTTAGTGAGTTTAAATGATTTTATCAAGGTCAACATTGGTAAGTTATGGAGCCACAATCCCACACCACATTCCAAGCTTAAGGATTTCAGCCTGAGTTTTCAATGTTCATAGAGATCTGAGCCATGCTACTTTTAGTTAAAAATTATCTTACTCCTTGACAATTGATACCTATTCACATGTATACATATAATATGTATGTAGCTATGTAGCTACATATTTCTATATGTGCATGGTGTACTGTATCAGAGGTTTAACATTTATATGAGTTGTGTGCCTGCTCTGTTGAACCTACTCTTATGTTAAGCCCTTGTTTGCAGTTTGAGTGCTTTATTTAGCTTAAGTTTTATGACCACGTAAAACAGTATTTCTAAATAAACATATTGCCAAAGTTGTGGTAAATTAACATACTGATTTAGTTTAGGATAACTTGGCTCCTGATGTTCCTTAGAAAATGCCATTTACTTGCAGAATACCCTTTGTTGTCTATCTCTACCTAATTTCCAAGAGGGTACTAATCAGTTTTTCTCTACTCAAAAAATTCCTTCTCCTCTTGATATCAATGTACTTTTCTTGTCCATAGCCATGGAAGCTGCTTTCCATGCCTTTTTTTGGAAAGAGATTTGAAAAGCCCCTGAAACCTAGGTGTAACTACTGGTTAGAGATTCTGGCTGAACCTTCAGAGGTTTCAACTGGAAATTGTAGTTCCTGCTAGTCATCACAGCTAATAGCAGGTTGGCTGAAGCAATTGGCTGGTTGTACTTTCTTCAAGACAGTGACAGGATGGCAGTTCAGAAAGGCGAAGAGAAGGAAGATACTTAAATAAAAATACTAATAAAAACATTGCAAGATCAAAGGTACTCAGCATTACTACAGAAGAGTGGTGAACTAGGGCTCAGGAGCTGTGAAGAGGTTAAACTATGATAGCCTGTTAAGTTTGTTTACCGAGTGTGCCTGCCTATAATACAAATGTATGTGTTTGCTTCTAGTGGAAATTGCCACACTAACAAGAGAGAATGGGAAGACAGTCATCAGGGTCCTCAAACAAAAGGAAGTAGAACAGCTGATCAAAAAACATGAGGAAGAAGAAGCTAAAGCTGAGCGTGAGAAGAAAGAAAAAGAACAGAAAGAAAAAGATAAATAGTAGACAAAGTCAGGGATTTTATCATTCATTCGGGGTACCATTTCAGTGTAAAAGCTGTCCTACTCTTCCACATTGAGAAAGCTTTGACTTTTTTAAACTTGTGTAGTGGTAAAATAGGATGGTACCAGCTGAATTGGGTCATTATTTCTGTCCAGTTGAACATTGTAATAATGATTACTCTTCATGGACATATTTAGACTCTGCCCCTCTTCTTCTTTGGAATAAAACTTGGAAAGAATAGAAATGGCGAGGGAAAAAATTCTGTGTAGCAATATTTATTAAAGATACCAGGATTAACAGAGCCATGACCTTTTCATGCTTTATGTATACTGTGGCAGCCTTTGCAGGTACTTCTAAATAGGATGTTAAAATTGACAGAAGTGTGACATCATAAAAAAAGGTGAGAATTGTGCATTAAAGGTTTCCTTTGCTGTCATTCTTCTACCATCTTAGAGAATCTCTAACCCAATTTAAGCAAAACAGAGATGCCCTTTTCTTAGGCCTCTGATAGGGTAATAACAGATGAGGTCTATCCAGTGTGTTAAGAATTACATTCCTCTGCTAGGTATTGCCAGCCTTTGATGTTGATGGATATTCATGTTGGACTTAAAAATTGTGCATTTGTGTGTGCACATTACATTTGTGTACACATAAACTACTATAAAACATGAAAGGATAATTAAAATGAAAGCCCTCTATATCCAATACCCAGCTTCAGAAACAAACTATTCAGTACTTCTGAAGCCTCCATTAGATCTCCTTCCTCTCGATACCCAAGAGATAACCACTGTTTTGGGTTTGTCATTGCACTTACTAGGGTTTTTACACTGGTTTTCTGCCCATCTACTCCAGGTGGTCTTAGGTCTGTCAGAGAACCCCACTTCTTTTAACTGAGGTGGGCATATCCATCAGGCTGGCCAGATAACCCATCTCTGTATCCAGGGATTGGTTTGAGAATGAACATGTGGGCTGAGCCAAGCCAGTATTAATGTGTAGGTATGAGGAGAATGCTGAGGATCCTGTAGCTAGGACAGGCTGTTCACAGACAGCAACCCAAGCCACAGGAAAGGTGGTGTGCAGAAGAAATTAAGGCCACAGAGGAAAAGTGGAACCAAGAGGTAAGAATAGTTCAGCTTTGGCTGAAGGGACCTCCATTGCCAGCCTGTGCCGTCATATGTCACTTAGGTTGGTGTGCTTATGATAGAGTCCTCTTTGATAGAAGTGCTATTGAGCAGTGGTCTGTGGACAGAAAGATTTAGCATAACTTGGGGTTTGTTAGAATTGGAAATTGTGGTGTCCCATCCCAGACCTACTGAATAAACAGGAGAGCCCAGCAATCTGTTTTAACAAGCTCTGCATGTGTTTCTAATGTGTCCTAGGTTTGAGAAGTGCTTTGCTAAGTTAGAATCACCAGGTCAGTTCTTAAATTATAGAGCTGTACTCCATACCGGTCAAATCAACCTCTGGGGTAGGACTCTCATATTAGCACTTATCTAAGTGTTTCCAGATGATACATGTGGAGACTGAGGTATGAGAGCCAGTGCACTGAGCCATAGCTTAGGCTTCTCAGCTGTTGTCAAACAGGAGATCCCATCCTAATCCCTCATAAGTGCTCTTAAGGAATAGAAGTGTTTCACAGTTTTCTGCAAAGACAACCTCACATGGTGGTGTTCAGGTGGGACTTCAACCTCACAAGGTGTTTCCAAGTCCCACTGACATAGTGCTTTTTCAGTCTTATAAATTTCTCTTTTACTCTAATTTATTCACTTGATTCATATTATTCTTGGTGGCTATACTCTATAGTCACAGTGAACACTGAATTAGCAAATACTGAACCATTGTTCCTAGGGGAAATACTAGGTTAGGTTCCTCTGGGCCTCTGATCACACTATTTTCATCTGCTGATCATTATATAACTTTTTATGTGTGTTTCTGTTGTTTAAAGACAATTTAATATACATTGTTAATTCATTAATACTGAACTCATGGCCAACAGCACTAAAACTCATGCTTAAGTGAAGCTTATCTAATAGATCTACTTTGTCCATAGATCACATCAAGCCTTCTTGCACTTAAGAACACTAGCCAGCCATAGCAACTCATTGACATTCATTTACATCTCATTGACCACACTTACCACAATTAATAGAACCATCATCTACACAAATTATTAAGTGACTCCCATTTTAAAAACATGTTTGTGGCTACTACTACTGAGTCAGTAAAAAAACCATGTTCCAAGATTAAAGGTGGTATTCTAATTAGGTATAAGCACATTGTTACCTACCTGTAATGTTTCAATTATCTCTTTAATTCCATCAATTACAACAATGGAATCAGAGTTATAAGGACCTTTCAACATAATCTACTCTCAGTCTTCTTACTATTAAGTATCATGTATCACAGGTAAACAAGTTAAATTTCATCTCTAAATGCCCCTGATTGAGCTATGACCAAGAACCCTGATAGAAACCTCACATTTGATTTAGAACTCTTGGCTCCTGAGACAACAAGCCTTATCATTTATAGTAAGTAACCCATCTAAGTTCAAATCAATACTCTTTGGAAGGCAGTGGGGATCCTGTCAAATTTGCATTTTATTGTAGGCAGGTGTTTAATGCCATTTAATGAGTGAAAGTCTGGTTTGATGAATTTAAATGGCCTGTTAGCTATCTTAGCATTATCTTAGCATGTGTACAACTCTGATACCTCATATATCCATTACTATAAAAATTTTTATGCATAGATTTATAGAAATTTTTCTTTTGACTTACGAGTCACTGGGTTGCAATTTTATGTTTTATTTTTGCATAGGAAAAACATCAAAATGACTAGTGAGAAGATTAATATTATCTGACTCATCATTTCTTGCTAGTGGTTATTCAGATTCAGAAGTGTATGGGATACTTCCTTAATAATTAGTCTAAAGCAGTGGTTCTCAACTGGGAACAATTTTTCTCTCAAATAGAAATTTAATAATTTTTGGAGACATTTTTGATGGTCACAGCTGGCAAGGGACAGAGTATGTTACTGGTGTCTAGTGGGTAGAGATCATGGTACTACTGTAGACCCTACAATGTACAGGACAGTCCCCCCAACACAGAAGCATCCAACCAAAAACGTCATTAGTGCTAAGGTTGAGAAACCTTGTGCTGAAGTCTCATTAATGATGATGTGTGACGAGGCATAATTTCTCATAGTATGATTTAGAATTATGTAAGATAGATAGTTGAGACCCTTCACAATGGAGGTATGGCCCTTAGACTCTTGAAAAACAGTACAGAACAAGAAGTGTGTGGTAAGAAATGGTAATAATGGGGTATTGTTGAAATTGTGCGAAATCTCAAGGAGATATGGAATAAATAAGAATAACCTTGGAAATCTATTGTTATTGATACTGAACCAATATCAGTTGGTTATAGTTTTCAAATTTAGCCCATTTTTACATGTTTCATAGCACAGCACACTACTTATCACTGTAGAAGAATTATATTTTGACATGTTTTCACCTTAACAAAAAGGCTGGCTAAATGTTCATTTATCCATAATAAATACTTCAACATTTTTCTTGCATCCATCTTTTTTTGACAAAAATCAGTGTTTTAAAAATTTCTGACAGACAACTGGATAATAAGTAAACCTTGAAATACCAAATACAGTAGCTTGATGACAGAAAGTATGTTACTATTAAGAAAGAGCCTAAATAAACATAAGACCTAAAACAATAAAATTCTTAGAACAGAACAAATGCTTATGATACTGGGTTTGGCAATGATTTGATGCAAAAGACACAAGCAACAACAGCAAAAGAGAATAATTGGACTTCATAAAAATTTTGTGCATCAAAAGATACTACCAATAGCAAAAAGGCAACCCATAGAATGGAATAAACTATTTTGAAAATCATATATCTAATAAATTTCAGGAGTTTTGATTAATCCCTCAGCAATGAAAAAAATTCCAAAAATGGAGCAAGGGACTTGAATAGACATTTCTCTAAGAAGATATGAATGGTAAATAATCACATGAAAAGAAACAAAACATCACTAATCATTAGAGAAATGCAAATCAAAATGAGATACCACTTAATACCTATTAGAATGGCTACTATTAAAAAAAACAGTAAACAAGTGTTGAGGATGTGGAGAATTGGAACCCTTGTGGGAGTAAAATGGTACAGTCATGGTGGAAAATAGTAAGGCAGTTCCTCAAAAACTTATAAGTAGAATTAACATATGATCCAACAATTCCACTTTGGGGTAAATACCCAAAGAAATTGAAAGTAGGGTCTCAAAGAGAGATTGGTACCTCCATGTTCATAGCAGCACTGACTACAATAGCTAATATGGAGCAGCCCAGTGTCCACTGACGGGTGAATGGATAAACAAAAGGTGGTATATACATACAATGGAATATTCAGCTTTAAAAAGGAAGAAAATTATGACATATGCTACATGGATGAAACTTCAGGACATTATGGTAGGTGAAATAAACAAATGACAAAAAAATTCTGCATGATTCCACTCATGAGATGCTTAAAGTAAAAAAAAAATATAGACAGGAAATGGTGGTTATTGGACTGGGGAAAGGACAGAATAGGGAGCTATAGTTTATTATGTAATAGAGCATCACAGTTTCAGTTTTATAAGATCAAAAGAGTTACGGAAATGGATGGTGGTGTTGCTTGTACAACTGAACGTATTTAATACCACTAAACTGTACACTTAAAAATGGTTAAGATGGTAAGTTTTAAGTGTACTTTACCACAATAAAAAAAGCACCCCCCCCACCCCCCCTCCAAAACCAAGCCTCAAACACACATTTTAGTGCTTAGGCATCATCTCTTGCCATCAAGGGTTGCAGAAATAATCCTGCTGTCCCTAAAATGCACACCAGAATGAAAACCCACAGAAAAATACGATCGATCACCATGGCAACATACTTCCAGTCATCTTGAATCTGAAAAACAAATCATGAAAGAATAATGAAACACGAAGGAAAGGGCAGAGTGAACACATTTTCAACATTGAATATTTAATACTATGTTGCAGTGGCAGAAGCAGCAATTCTGTCACCAACATGCAAGAAAACCTTTCCTATTCATACAGTCTGAGGAAATGCACCATTCTTGTTTCTCTTCATGCACTAGAGAATTAAGTCTAAAATATCTGTCATGTTAAATCTGTTTTGCATCAGACACTACTTAACGTATACATAACCTATTTTTTTCTCAGCAGAATTCCAATTTATAGTTACTAAAGCCAGTTACTTATGCCTCTTGTGGGAGAACTCTGGGACTTTGTTAGAATAAATAATAGAATCCAACATAATTTACCAGAGTTTCAAAGTACTAATTATCAAGTTTTAGATAAATTGACTGTAGGAGCTGGATGCTTCCCACCTTCCTCACATCAATGGTGAACAACTTCAGTGAAGCAAAAAGAACTTGGAAGAAGTCAGAGCTAGGTGGGAGGTACAGAGAAGTACCCTGAGGGACAAGGTCATCTGGGAGAAAGAAAGCACCCTTGAAGGGTGCTGTAGCCTGTACTGTAGGCTCTTGGCCTTGTAGAGCCTGGCTTTGGGTCCCTCCTTCAAACATAATTCAGCAAGGGTGGCTGACACCCCCAGAAAAAGTGAGTTTACAGGCTCCAAATACACAACCTTCCCTATGTGAAAGAAAATTTTTGGATCGGAGAGATTAAGGATTTAAACTAAACATGGTATCTTCAGATAAGAGTGAGTATTAGAAACATGAAGAAGGAATAAGCAGCACTATAGAACCAAGTAGAATACAATTGTGAAAAACAAGTTGTAGTAAAGAACACAAGAGATAAGATAACTAGCAAGAGTGGAGACAGCATAGGAAAGCAGCAATGAAGTGGCAGGTAAGAGTGAGGAATTCATCCAGCAGACAGTAGAAAGGAATGAAAAGGTGGGAAAGTAAAAGGAAAGCTCAGAGATGTAGAGGCTGGAAGTAGATGTGTCCAGGTCTGTACAACAGGAGTTCAGGGAAAGGGAAGTGCAAAGGGCGAGGAGAAAAACCTTTACAGAAATAACCTTGACTTCCCCAGAACTAAAGAAAGATGGAAAACCTCAGAATGAAATGGCTTATAAGAATGACAGATTAGGAGAGACACACAGTGACACATTGTGTTTGATGTCATTAGATTTCTCTACAAATACAATATTCTAATAGCTCTCAGGCAGAACTGATGACTCACAAAGGAACAACACTCAAAATTTTCAGAAGTGACACTGAAGCAAAAGGCCCATGGAATATTATTATTTTATTTCATTTATATTTTGGTATCACTAATGTACAATTACATCAGCAAAATTATGGTTACTAGACTCCCCCTATTATCAAGTCCCTACCACATACCCCATTAGTCACTGTACATCAGCATAGTAACATGCTATAGAGTCACTGCTTCTCTGTGCTATACTGCCTTCCCTGTGTCCTTCCCTACACTATGTGTGCTAAGTGTAATGCCCCCTTTTCCCCATTATCCCTCCCTTCCCACCCATTCTCTCCAGTCCCTTTCCCTTTGGTAATTCTTATTTCATTCTTGGGTTTTGTGAGTCTGCAGCTGTTTTGTTCCTTCAGTTTTTTCATTCTTATACTCCACAGATGAATGAAATAATTTGATACTTGTCTTTCTCTGCCTGGCTTATTTCACTGAGCATAAGTACCCTCTAGCTCCATCCATGTGTTGCAAATGGTATGATTTCCTTTCTTCTTATGGCTGAATAATATTCCAATGTGTATATGTACCACATCTTTTTTATCCATTCATCTACTGATGGACACTTAAGTTGCTTCCATTTCTTGGCTATTGTAAATAGTGCAGCAATAAACATGGGAGTGCATATGTCTTTTTCAAATGTCTCCTACATTCTTAGGGTAAATTCCTAGGAGTGGAATTCCTGGGTCAAATGGTATTTCTATTTTTAGTTTTTTGAGGAATCTCCATACTGCTTTCCATGCCCCCTCCACAATGCCCAACTAACCAAGTATGTTCAATTGTAAGGTCAAAATATCAAGGAATTCTATACAATATAGAACAGGTTGAAAATGAGAAATAACTGCTGACAATAAATTAAAAGAAGAAAGAGCAACACTAATTGTATATAATATAGCTTCAAATTAGACTTGAAATAGGAAGGACACTTGCACGTTAATTGTACTCCTAGACAACTCAGAAAGCAAGGAAACCACAATTGAGAAAGAATGCATGACTCAACTGATTTTGAAAAAGTAATCACGTAAAAAGGCAGCATGTGATTTAGTAATTCAGTGCACTGAAATAGGATTCTATTTCATCATGAGCTGGAGCAAATGTGTCCTCTTGATGACACAAGTCACAGGTAAAATAGAATTATAATCCCATATTTGCCACAAGGTACTTTATTTGAATTCCCAAGACTTTGGTTTATAAGTGCTTCAAATACACAGTAGCCTCTGTGAGTCCTACCCACTGCCTACCAGGGAAACATCCTAAAGATCTAGGACACAGGGGAACACAGAGATCTGGAGACAGTCTTTGATTATAATCCCAGCTTCGCTGATATGTGACTTCATTTAGCTTGTGTCCTCATCTGTAAAATGGGCATAAGAACAGTACTACCCCAGAGGGTTGTTAGAAGGATTAAGTGAAATGATGCACCTGGCATGGTGCTTAATAATACCTACTGATGTCAATGCTAACTGAACAAATCAGCGTTATCCACGCATGACTCCTTCTGGCGGCAATTCACATGGGTCAGCCTAGGGGAAAAACATGGGATTTGGGTCTTACATATGAGTACAAATACTACCTCAAAATTGGGAGAAATTGACTTCATGTCTAAGGCTTAGTCTGTAAGGCACAATGGTATGGGAAATTGTCTGGAAACCTTAGACCCAATGATCAGTAACAGGTAGATTTGTATTAGGCAAAGTGGTGAACTAGCCCGAGCTTCTGGCTCCCTCTCCCAGTCCAACCCTTAAGAATGTCCGGGAATCAGGAGGAAAATGTGCTTAAGGACAGAACCTGGGAAGGTGTGGCCTGGTGAGTGTGAGTGTGCCATTGGCTTTTGGTATAGGGCAAGGAACTGGGGAGAGCTTTGAGGTTGTGCTTTGTCCTCCCTTAACACCTTGTCTCTTTTCAGCCTGCCCACTCCAGCCCAGAAATTCAAGTGGGGGTAACTTGTGAGTGAAGGAGAATGGAAGGTGCCCATTGACTGTAGGAGCTGGACGCTTCCCACCTTCCTCACATCAATGGTGAACAACTTCAGTGAAGCAAAAAGAACTTGGAAGAAGTCAGAGCTAGGTGGGAGGTACAGAGAAGTACCCTGAGGGACAAGGTCATCTGGGAGAAAGAAAGCACCCTTGAAGGGTGCTGTAGCCTGTACTGTAGGCTCTTGGCCTTGTAGAGCCTGGCTTTGGGTCCCTCCTTCAAACATAATTCAGCAAGGGTGGCTGACACCCCCAGAAAAAGTGAGTTTACAGGCTCCAAATACACAACCTTCCCTATGTGAAAGAAAA